CATGATGCATGCGGCTGCCCCCCATTTTCTGTGGCCGTTTGCGGTTCGGTACGCGGCGCATCAGATCAACCTTCACCCCAGGGTCTCCATGCCGGAGACCTCCCCAGCTTTGCTGTGGACGGGGAAGGTTGGCGATGCGTCTGCGTTCCGTGTCTGGGGATCTCGGGCGTTTGTCCGCGACTTGTCTGCGGACAAGCTGTCCCCTCGTGCTGCTCCTTGCGTCTTCCTTGGCTTCCCCCCTGACGCGCCAGGGTGGCAGTTCTACCACCCCACCTCTCGCCGTGTTCTGTCCTCCCAGGACGTCACGTTTGACGAGTCGGTCCCCTACTACCGCCTCTTCCCCTACCGCACTCCGTCCCTCCCCCCGCCACCGCTCTTCCTTGTCCCAGGTCCCCCCCCGGTAGACCCCCTCCCCCCTCAGGGTCCTGCCCCTTCAGGTGTGTCCCAGGTAGACGCAGTCGAGCCTGTCGAGGTTACTGGTGACTCTGGTGCTGCTGAGGGTGCTGAGCCTGGGGGTGCTGACTCTGGGGGTGCTGAGCCTGAGGGTGCTACTACTGGGGGTGCTGAGCCTGGGGGTGCTGAGCCTGGGAGTGCTACGCCTGGGGGTGCTACGCCTGGAGGTGCTGAGCCTGGGGGTGCGGAGCCTGAGGGAGCTGGGCCTGCTCGTGTGGCGTCTGGCGGTGCTGAGCCTGGAGGTTCTCCGGGTGCTTCGTCTCGACGGGAGGCACTCTCTCCACAGGAGCTGCGCGAGTGGTTTGCCCGGCGCTGGAGGCGTGCTGCTGGAGCTGGAGGTTCTTCGGCTGCTGAGGGTGCTGGTGCCGCGGGTCCCGGAGGTGCTCGTACTGGGAGTACTGGAGCTGCTGGGCCTGCGGGTACGACTGGAGCTGGAGCTGCTGAGGGTGTTGGCGCTGAGGCTACTGCTGTCGGTCCTGGAGGCGGTCCTGCTGGGGGTGCTGGAGCTGGAGGTACTGCTGGCGCTGGTGCTGCCGCTGGGGGTACTGGTGCTGTCCCTGCTGTGTCTGGAGTCGCCACACGGCCTAGGCCGTACTTCGTTCCGCTCCTTCAGCAGGTTCTTGGTCTCCCGCCTTCTCCTGGTCCTCCTCCTCCCTTAGAGTGTCCACAGCCTGTCCCGTCACAGTTACAGCTACAGCCGGCCTCCCCACTGCCCGCTCCTTCTCCCTACACTGGTCCTACTGGAGGTCTTGCTGAGCGTCGTGAGCCTGCGTCTCGCCCTGCGTCGCCTGTCCGTGCTTCTCGCACTAGTGGTCGTGGTTCGCGTCAGCGTCCTCCTCCTGTCCCTGGCGCGCACCGGATGTCTCTGCGTCCGTCCACTGCTCCTCTGCGTGCCCCTTTGCCTTCTCCTCCTGAGTCCTCTCTTCCTGCTCTTCCTGACCCGGAGTCGGACTCTCTTCGTGCTGCCAGTCCTACTGTCACGCGTCTCCTTGCTACTGTTGTCACTGACCCTTCCTTTGAGTCCACTGCTGCGTCTGCCCTAGTTACTGAGCTCGTCGACTTTGCTGCTCGCTGTCGTCTAGACTACGCTGCTAGACTTGTTGCTGAGTCTGAGTCTGTCTGTCCTCCGTCCGTCGGGGGTGAGTGTGCCCTTGGCACGGACGTCCTTGAGGACAGGCAGGAGGAGTTCCAGTGTTTGGCTGCTGCTTCACCTCATCTCGTGTCCGTACTGCTTACCCCTGAGGGAGACCCGGATGCACTTGACATCCCGACTCCGCGCTATTACGCGGAGGCGATAGAGGGTCCCTACTCCTCTCGGTGGCAGGCAGCTATGGACGCAGAGATGGCTTCCTGGAAGTCCACAGGCACCTACGTTGACGAGGTTCCCCCGCCTGGGGCGAACATCGTCAGTGGCATGTGGATTTTCAGGGTGAAGCGGCCGCCGGGTTCTCCGCCTGTCTTCAAGGCGCGTTACGTGGCTCGTGGCTTCAGTCAGCGGCAGGGAGTTGACTACTTTCAGACCTTCTCTTCCACCCCGAAGATGACCACTCTTCGGGTACTGCTGCACATAGCTGCTCACCGCGACTACGAGCTGCACTCTCTTGACTTCAGCACTGCTTTCTTGCAGGGCAGCCTGCACGAGGAGATCTGGCTGCGTCGCCCACCTGGCTTCACTGGGTCTTTTCCTCCTGGCACCCAGTGGAGCCTCCGGCGGCCAGTCTACGGTCTCCGCCAGGCACCGCGTGAGTGGCACGACACACTGAGGACTACACTTGCGGCTCTTGGGTTTGCTCCCTCTACTGCCGACCCGTCGCTGTTTCTGCGCACCGACACTTCTTTGCAGCCGTTCTACATCCTCGTGTACGTCGACGACTTGGTCTTTGCCACAGCTGACACTGCTGGACTCGCCCACGTGAAGTCCGAGCTGCAGAAGAGACACACGTGCACAGACTTGGGTGAACTGCGCAGCTACCTTGGCTTGCAGATCACCCGGGACAGAGCACGCCGCACCATTACCCTGACTCAGTCACACATGGTGCAGCAGGTCCTTCAGCGCTTCGGCTTCACGTACTCCTCGCCTCAGGCCACTCCTCTGCCTACTCGCCACTCGCTCTCAGCTCTGCCTTCGGATGAGTCCGTAGAGTCGAGTGGCCCGTACCCAGAGCTTGTTGGCTGCCTCATGTACCTGATGACCTGCACACGACCTGACCTTGCATACTCTCTTAGCATTCTTGCACGCTATGTTGCTCCTGGGAGACACAGACCGGAGCACATGGCTGCAGCGAAGAGGGTGTTGCGCTACTTGTGCAGTACATCGGGCATGGGGCTTGTGCTTGGAGGGCAGAGTCCAGTGGTCCTCACTGGACACGCAGACGCTTCTTGGGCTGACGACCAGGCTACGCAGCGGTCGTCACAGGGTTACACCTTCAGCCTTGGTTCCGGCTCTGTTTCGTGGCGGGCTACTCGCTCGTCTTCTGTTCTTGGCTCCAGTTGCGAGGCTGAGATCTACGTCGGGGCCATGGCTACACAGGAGCTTCGCTGGCTCACCTACCTGCTGACTGACCTCGGAGAGCCGCCTCGTTCTCCTCCAGTGCTCTACGTAGACAACAAGGCCATGCTGGCCTTGTGTCGAGAGCAGAAACTGGAGCACAGAACGAAGCACATTGCTCTTCGCTACTTCCTTGCTCGTGAGCTACAGCAACGTGGTCAGCTGCGACTTGCGTACGTGGCCTCTGAGGCCAACACTGCTGATATCTTCACCAAGGCACTTGCGCCTTGTGATCATCAGTGCTTCTGTACTCAGCTGGGTCTTGTGCCTACCTTGCCTCACTTGCTCACCTCTTGACCTTGTTTGTACTGTTGCATATATATATACTCCTGCTCTTGCTTGTTTAGCCTTATATATGTATGTAATCCTGCATGTTAACTGGCCTTGTGGCCTTGAACTTGTGCTCGGAATGTGTGGTGACTTTGTGATCCACCCTGAGCTTGCTTTGCTTTGCTTGACTGGTCTTGTGACCCCTTGTTCTCCCCCACTTTGCCTATGGGGGTGTGTCAGAGTTATTTGACATAGCTACTGTAGGCTATAGTGGAGTAGCACATATGGGGTACAGTTTCCTAGGGTTTGCCTTTTGTACCCAACTTTCACTTAGTCATTTCATTCCTGTTTTCTTAATTCACAATTCCCTACGCCTATAGGGATCCATGCGCTTCCTTAGCATTTGTGGGTAGACACGGTCGTCATCGCGGGCGCCGAACTTTTCTGTGCGTGCGAACTAATCTGAAGTTGCTCTTCTAGGTGTATTTGAACATGGGCCACCCAAATATGCAACAATATTCGGGTCATTGAATGCTTTTCCCTATGCCTATAGGGATCCATGCGCTTCTTTAGCATTTGTGGGCAGGCACGGCCGTCATCGCGGTCGCCGAACTTTTCAGTGCGTGCGAACCAACCTGAAGTTGCTCTGTTAGGTGTATTTGAACATAGGCCACCTGAATATGCAACAATATTTGGGTCGTTAAATGCTTTTCCCTACGCCTATAGGGATGCATGCGCTTCCTTAGAATTTGTGGGCACGCACGGCCGTCATCGCGGTCGCCGAACTTTTCTGTGCGCGCGAACCAATCTGAAGTTGCTCTGGTAGGTGAATCTGAACATGGGCTACCCGAATATGCAACAATTTTCGGATCATTGAATGCTTTTCCCTACGCCTATAAGGATCCATGCGCTTCCTTAGCATTTGTCGGCAGGCACGGCCGTCATCGCGGGCGCCAAACTTTTCTGTGCGTGCGAACCAATCTGAAGTTGCTTTGATAGGTGTATTTGAACATGGGCCACTCCAATATGCAACAACATTCGGGTCGTTGGATGCTTTTCCCTACGCCTATAGGGATCCATGCGCTTCCTTAGCATTTTTTAGGCAGTCACGGCCGTCATCGCGGACGCCGAGCTTTTCTGTGCGCGCGAACCAATCTGACGTTGCTCTGGTAGGTGTATTTGAACATATGCAACAACATTTGGGTTGTTCGATGCTTTTCCCTATGTCTATAGGAATCCATGTGCTTCCTTGTCATTTGTCGGCAGGCACGGCCGTCATCGCAGGCGCCGAACTTTTTTGTGCGCTCGAACTAATCTGCAGTTGCTCTGGTAGGTGTATTTGAACAAGGGCCACTCGAATATGCAACAACATTCGGGTTGTTTAATGCTTTTCCCTACGCCTATAGGGATCCATGCGCTTCCTCAGCATTTGTGGGCAGGCACGGCCGTAATCGCGGTCGCCAAACTTTTCTGTGCGCTCTAACCAATCTGAAGTTGCTCTGGTAGGTGTATTTGAACATGGGCCACCGAATATGCAACAATATTTGGGTCGATGAATGCTTTTCCCTACGCCTATAGGGATCCACGCGCTTCCTTAGCATTTGTGGGCAGGCACGGCCGTCATCGCGGGCGCCGAACTTTTTTGTGCGCTCCAACCAATCTGAAGTTGATGTGATAGGTGTATTTGACCATGGGCCACCCGAATATGCAACAATATTTGGGTCGTCAAATGCTTTTCCCTACGCCTATAGGATCCATGCGCTTCCTTAGCATTTGTGGGCAGGCACGGCCGTCATCTCGGGCGCCGAACGTTTCTGTGCGCGCGAACCAATCTGAAGTGTGATGAGAGTAGGGAGAAGGGTGATGACAGTAGGGAGAACGGTGATGAGAGTAGGGAGAAGGGTGATGAGAGTAGGGAGAAGGTTGATGAGAGTAGGGAGAAGGGAGAAGAGTAATGAGAGTATGGAGAAGGGTGATGAGGGTAGGGAGAAGGGTAATGAGAGTAGGGAGAAGGGTGATGAGGGTAGGGAGAAGGGTGATGAGAGTAGGGAGAAGGGTGATGAGAGTAGGGAGAAGGGTGATGAGAGTAGGGAGAAGGGTGATGAGAGTAGGGAGAAGGGTGATGAGAGTTGGGAGAAGGGTGATGAGAGTAGGGAGAAGGGTGATGAGAGTAGGGAGAAGGGTGATGAGAGTAGGGAGAAGGGTGATGAGATTAGGGAGAAGGGTGATGAGTGTAGGGAGAAGGGTGATGAGAGCAGGGAGAAGGGTGATAAGAGTAAGGAGAAGGGTGATGAGAGTAGGGAGAAGGGTGAGGAGAGTAGGGCGAAGGGTGATGAGAGTAGGGAGAAAGGTGATGAGAGTAGGGAGAAGGGTGATGAGAGTAGAGAGAAGGGTGATGAGAGTAGGGAGAAGGGTGATGAGAGTAGGGAGAAGGGTGATGAGAGTAGCCGCGTTTTGGGGCTAGACGCGCTCGTTCTGAGCGTTTTTCTTCTACCGGGTCACCTGGCTGCGCTTGTCTGGGCCTATTGACAAGCCAGCAAGGGCGTGGGAGGGTTGCGAGCATCATTGGTCATCAGCGCTCGCGAATGAAGAGCGCCCGCTGCACTTCCTGCACATGTGCGAATCGTTCCGCGTTTTGATGCTAGAAGCGCTTGTTCTAAGCGTTTTTTCTACTACCGGGTCACCTGGCTGCGCTTGTCTCGGCCTATTGCCAAGCCAGCAGGGGCGTGGGTGGGTTGCAAGCATCATCGGTCATCGGCGCTCGCGAATGAAGAGCGCCCGCTGCACTTCCTGCACATGTGCGGATCCTTCCGCGTTTTTGGGTTGGAAGCGCTCGTTCTGAGCGTTTTTCTTCTACCGGGTCACCTGTCTGCGCTTGTCCGGGCCTATTGACAAGCCAGCAAGGGCGTGGGAGGGTTGCGAGCATCATTGGTCATCAGCGCTCGCGAATGAAGAGCGCCCGCTGCACTTCCTGCACGTGTGCGCTAGTCATCCTAAGGATGTGTGCCCTTCACCTTCTTCCACTAAATACTTTCATAAATGGTAACAACAAATGTCATCGCATTTGAAGGAGCACAACAAATTATCCCTGTTTCGTGGGAATATGCAAGCGACTTGTTTGTCGCAATCAGACGAAGGGCTTCAGATTCGTTTTGGGCCACCCTTAGTAATCAGGGTTCTAGGTATAGTCAACCCTGATGCCTAGGGTAAATTTTTTGTTTTCCTGACAAATGCAGAGTAAAAAAACTGTAAGTCTGTTTGGCCAGGGTAATTTTTCTGAGGTGCCTCCGAGGATTTTGCCAAGATAATCAAGTTCAGCACTTTGTGGCTCAGCTGGTTATGTTAAGGATAAGGTCTGAAAGACCGCAGGTTCGAGTCTCGCTGTTGTGAGTGTTTCGCAGGGACCCGCACAGTGTTTCGTCTCGCTACGGAGCATTCGGTATCTGTATAGTGTACTGGGATTGTACACTGTACAGTCAGAAAAACAAGTTCCTTACGCTGTTTTTCAAAGGGTTAGGGTAAAAAATCCACTACCCTGTCTGTGAAAGGGTAACTTAAAAAAAGCGGCCGCCAGTCAGTGCAAAAAAGGTATTTTACCCTGATAACGAGAGCCAGACGACTCTCCCTTGTGTAACATATGTTGACACTGCAACGTGCATCACCCCCCTCCGTTGCTCTGGTCCCTCCTCTCATCTTCCATGCTCATCCCCATCCCCGTCCTCATTGGCATGCTCCTCCGAGTTACCATTGTCAAACCCGTGTGCCTCATCATCCCTCTCCTCCTCATCCAGGCGGGTGGGGAAGAACTCCTCCCCGGGGGCAATGCACGTGAAGACCTGCCCGCATCGCAAGCCAATGGCAGGCGGAAACAGTACAGGCAAGAAGAGATTTCAGAAAATGCGTGGATGAGAAGAACCCTGTCTGCCACATCATCATCCATCATCATCCATCACCATCCACCAGAATAGTGCCATCTCTCCGTCATCACTGCCATCTCTCCATCATCACTGCCATCTCTCCGTCATCACTGCCATCTCTCCGTCATCACTGCCATCTCTCCGTCATCACTGCCATCTCTCCGTCATCACTGCCATCTCTCCGTCATCACTGCCATCTCTCCGTCATCACTGCCATCTCTCCGTCATCACTGCCATCTCAACGTCATCACTGCCATCTCAACGTCATCACTGCCATCTCAACGTCATCACTGCCATCTCTCCGTCATCACTGCCATCTCTCCGTCATCACTGCCATCTCTCCGTCATCACTGCCATCTCTCCGTCATCACTGCCATCTCTCCGTCATCACTGCCATCTCTCCGTCATCACTGCCATCTCAACGTCATCACTGCCATCTCAACGTCATCACTGCCATCTCTCCGTCATCACTGCCATCTCTCCGTCATCACTGCCATCTCTCCATCATCACAATGTCATCTCAACCACCAGTGTCATCCCAGCCTTACAATAACATCCCGACCATTACAGTAACATCTTGAGCATTACAGTTTCATCGCAAGCGGCAGCAGCATGGGTGCATGGGCTCACCTGCTGGGCCTCCTCGAGCACTGACTGCAGGTGCAGGGAGTCGCTCGGAGCGCTGCATGCGAACACGCCCTCAGGCACCTGCCATGGGAGGGAGAGCATTGGGAATCCTGCGTCGGGAATCTTGCGTCGGGAATCTTGCGTCGGGAATCTTGCGTGGAGCACAAAGCACGGTGCATCGCACATGGTACAGCACGAGCGTCCCATGGCCCATACCTGCACACTGCGGGCATCCCATGGCCCATACCTGCACACTGCGGGCATCCAGCAGGCGTTGCGAGAAGAACACAGCCCACAGCGCAGTGGGCCTCCCCTTCCCCGCTGCCTCCTCTCCATGCTCCTCGCCCGCCCCCGCCTCTGACCCCACCTGCTCTGATACCATACGGCTGGATGACGCCGTTTCCTCCCCTCCTTCATCTCCCTCTCCTCCCCCCTGCACGGCCACCCCGCTCCCCCCATTCTCCTCCGCACCCACTCCCTCTGCATGCTTGCTCCTGCCACCCCCCTCACTCACACCTCCAGCAACAGCAGCAGCAGAATGAGTGGCGGGGGACGGGTGTGGCAATGCAGTGAGGGCAGCAAGCACGGGCAGCAGCAGGGCGCGAGGGCAGTGGGAGGGGAGGCAGCGGGTGGAGAGATACAGCAGGTACCTGCAGGGGGGGGAGAGGTGGTATGTGTTGGTGATGGGAGACGGCAGTGGAGAATGAAGGGGACCCACACGAGAGGGGGGGGAGTGCCATGCTGTAGACTAGTATAGTAGGTAGTGCCATGCTGTAGACTAGTATAGTAGGTAGTGCCATGCTGTAGACTAGTATAGTAGGTAGTGCCATGCTGTAGACTAGTATAGTAGGTAGTGCCATGCTGTAGACTAGTATAGTAGGTAGTGCCATGCTGTAGACTAGTATAGTAGGTAGTGCCATGCTGTAGACTAGTATAGTAGGTAGTGCCATGCTGTAGACTAGTATAGTAGGTAGTGCCATGCTGTAGACTAGTATAGTAGGTAGTGCCATGCTGTAGACTAGTATAGTAGGTAGTGCCATGCTGTAGACTAGTATAGTAGGTAGTGCCATGCTGTAGACTAGTATAGTAGGTAGTGCCATGCTGTAGAGTAGTATAGTAGGTAGTGCCATCCGTGTTTTGCTGTTCCCACCAGTCTTCCCTATCGTTGAACCCCAATGCTTATTCCAATAGGGAACCATTTGAGGGGAGAGTGTGTGTGTGCATGCAGTGCGTGGGAAGCAGGAAGGGAGTGCGAGCAAGGAATAGGAGCACTCACTTCCCTTGGGGGCACACAGCACATTGCGATGACAGCTGGCACACTCTCACTGGCTGCTCCGGAAGCCCTGGTGCGAGTGCTGGCGGAGGGAGAGTGGGAGGGAAGGGCAGGGCGAGATGTGGGCGAGAGGGATGGGACGGGTGGGTGAGGGGTGAGACGCATGTTGCATGGGAAAGAGAATGGGATGAGCTGGGAGCCAGAGAAGGGTAGTCTTGCCTACACTTCTCAGCAGCAACACTCGCACCTGGACGGCAACACTCACACCTGGGCGGCAACACTCACATGTGGGCGGCAACAATCACATGAGGGCGGCGGCACTCACATGTGGGCGGCAGCACTCACATGTGGGCGGCGGCACTCACATGTGGGCGGCGGCACTCACATGTGGGCGGCAACACTCACATGTGGGCGGCAACACTCACATGAGGGCGGCGGCACTCACATGTGGGCGGCAGCACTCACATGTGGGCGGCAGCACTCACATGTGGGCGGCAACAATCACATGAGGGCGGCGGCACTCACATGTGGGCGGCAGCACTCACATGTGGGCGGCAGCACTCACATGTGGGCGGCAGCACTCACATGTGGGCGGCGGCACTCACATGTGGGCGGCGGCACTCACATGTGGGCGGCAACACTCACATGTGGGCGGCAACACTCACATGAGGGCGGCGGCACTCACATGTGGGCGGCAGCACTCACATGTGGGCGGCAGCACTCACATGTGGGCGGCAGCACTCACATGTGGGCGGTGGCACTCACATGTGGGCGGCGGCACTCACATGTGGGCGGCAGCACTCACATGTGGGCGGCAGCACTCACATGTGGGCGGCGGCACTCACATGTGGGCGGCAGCACTCACATGTGGGCGGCAGCACTCACATGTGGGCGGCGGCACTCACATGTGGGCGGCGGCACTCACATGTGGGCGGCAGCACTCACATGTGGGCGGCAGCACTCACATGTGGGCGGCAGCACTCAAATGTGGGCGGCAGCACTCACATGTGGGCGGCAGCACAGCAACGAGAGTGTGCATGTCTTGATGCAGGGAACCGTCGGTGATGCAAATGCAGCGTGCCACCACGCCCTCCCCCTGCTCCTCCTCCCCTTCGCCCCTCTCCCCTCCGGCACTTGTCTTGCCAGCGCTGTCCAAAGCACCACCAGCGCTGTCCAAAGCACCACCAGCGCCGCCACCGCCACCGTGAGACTGAGGCCCTGCCACGCCTGGGCTCGTCCCCTCATCCACACACGCGTCACTGCCACCTGCTGCACTCCCACGAGCTTCAGCACTGCCGCTCACCGCTGCAGGCTCTGCTGCGGGCTTTTTTGCGGGTGGTGCTGTGGGTGGTGCGGGGGGCAGCGGCTTGGGGAGGAAGGAGGGGCCGAGCAGCACGAGGGGCGCGCCCAGCAGCTGCCCGTCCTCCAATGCCACTCCCTCACACCGCCCCGTGTGCTGGGGGGGGAGAGAGGGGGGAAGGGGGGATGCGCCGCGGGAGGGGATCGGTACATGGGGCAAAGGCGGCAGGGGATGTTATGGTGGATGGTGAAGGATGCGGCTCCGGGTAAGTGTGACACGTGATTCAGAGACGTGTGATACGTATGGAGCATGAAAGCATTTCATTGCTGCTCCTTGCGGGCCCAGCCCTTGGTGCAGGTGCAGGTGCGGGTACAGGTGCAGGTGCAGGTGCGGGTACAGGTGCGGGTGCAGGTGCAGGTGCGGGTACAGGTGCGGGTGCAGGTGTGGGTACAGGTGGAGGGTTGCGCGCGCAGAGGAAAGTGAGGGTGGGTTGGCACGCACTGCATTCACAAGAAGAGACGCCACGGGCCGGCGCAGCACCTGCAGTAGCAGCACACAGCATGTGGCACAGAGAAGGGTAGAGTTTAGCGAAACGACAGGAGAGGCGGGGTGAAGAGGGATGAGTGGAGCAACCAGAAGCGGGAATGCTGCCAGCAAACAGAGCAGCGAGAAGACTGAGGGGGAAGCATGCAACATGGAGAAGAGCAGCGGTGGGCGCATGAGGCAGGATGGGGGTACGAGGCAGGGGGGGAGGCAGCATGCGGGGAGCATGTGGCATGCGGGGGGCAGCACTGACATAGAGGGCGCCTTTGACGGCAGCGAGGCGGCAGAAGGCCTGGGCGAGCTCGCCCATGCCGTACAGCGCCACCATCATGCCCGCCTCCGCGCCGTACCTGCCATGCCCATGCCATGCCATGCCAATGCCATGCCATGCCCATGCCATGCCATGCCATGCCATGCCCATGCCATGCCATGCCATGCCCATGCCCATGCCCATGCCCATGCCCATGCCCATGCCCATGCCCATGCCCATGCCCATGCCCATGCCCATGCCCATGCCCATGCCCATGCCCATGCACAAGTGCGCACGGGAGCAGAGCTGCACACCCATTAAAAAAGCTGCAGATGGAAGGGGCTGGCGCCTGAAAGGGCGCTGGTGAATGCGGTGCTGAGCTGCCCTAACCTGAGGGCCAGCATGCGGGCAACCACCGCCTCTCACCCACCCTTGTGCCCTGCCAGCACAATGCACACAGCACCCAGCACCCAGCAGACAGCACCCAGCAGGCAGCACCCAGCAGGCAGCACCCAGCAGGCAGCACCCAGCAGGCAGCACCCAGCAGGCAGCACCCAGCAGGCAGCACCCAGCAGGCAGCACCCAGCAGGCAGCACCCAGCAGGCAGCACCCAGCAGGCAGCACCCAGCAGGCAGCACCCAGCAGGCAGCACCCGCAGCAGCACCCAGCAGGCAGCACCCAGCAGGCAGCACCCAGCAGGCAGCACCCAGCAGGCAGCACCCAGCAGGCAGCACACAGCAGGCAGCACCCAGCAGGCAGCACCCAGCAGGCAGCACCCAGCAGGCAGCACCCAGCAGGCAGCACCCAGCAGGCAGCACCCAGCAGGCAGCACCCAGCAGCAGCACCCAGCAGGCAGCACCCAGCAGGCAGCACCCAGCAGGCAGCACCCAGCAGGCAGCACCCAGCAGGCAGCACCCAGCAGGCAGCACCCAGCAGGCAGCACCCAGCAGGCAGCACCCAGCAGGCAGCACCCAGCAGGCAGCACCAGCAGGCAGCACCCAGCAGGCAGCACCCAGCAGGCAGCACCCAGCAGGCAGCACCCAGCAGGCAGCACCCAGCAGGCAGCACCGCAGCAGGCAGCACCCAGCAGGCAGCACCCAGCAGGCAGCACCCAGCAGGCAGCACCCAGCAGGCAGCACCCAGCAGGCAGCACCCAGCAGGCAGCACCCAGCAGGCAGCACCCAGCAGGCAGCGAACCCAGCAGGCAGCACCCAGCAGGCAGCACCCAGCAGGCAGCACCCAGCAGGCAGCACCCAGCAGGCAGCACCCAGCAGGCAGCACCCAGCAGGCAGCACCCAGCAGGCAGCACCCAGCAGGCAGCACCCAGCAGGCAGCACCCAGCAGGCAGCACCCAGCAGGCAGCACCCAGCAGGCAGCACCCAGCAGGCAGCACCCAGCAGGCAGCACCCAGCAGGCAGCACCCAGCAGGCAGCACCCAGCAGGCAGCACCCAGCAGGCAGCACCCAGCAGGCAGCACCCAGCAGGCAGCACCCAGCAGGCAGCACCCAGCAGGCAGCACCCAGCAGGCAGCACCCAGCAGGCAGCACCCAGCAGGCAGCACCCAGCAGGCAGCACCCAGCAGGCAGCACCCAGCAGGCAGCACCCAGCAGGCAGCACCCAGCAGGCAGCACCCAGCAGGCAGCACCCAGCAGGCAGCACCCAGCAGGCAGCACCCAGCAGGCAGCACCCAGCAGGCAGCACCCAGCAGGCAGCACCCAGCAGGCAGCACCCAGCAGGCAGCACCCAGCAGGCAGCACCCAGCAGGCAGCACCCAGCAGGCAGCACCCAGCAGGCAGCACCCAGCAGGCAGCACCCAGCAGGCAGCACCCAGCAGGCAGCACCCAGCAGGCAGCACCCAGCAGGCAGCACCCAGCAGGCAGCACCCAGCAGGCAGCACCCAGCAGGCAGCACCCAGCAGGCAGCACCCAGCAGGCAGCACCCAGCAGGCAGCACCCAGCAGGCAGCACCCAGCAGGCAGCACCCAGCAGGCAGCACCCAGCAGGCAGCACCCAGCAGGCAGCACCCAGCAGGCAGCACCCAGCAGGCAGCACCCAGCAGGCAGCACCCAGCAGGCAGCACCCAGCAGGCAGCACCCAGCAGGCAGCACCCAGCAGGCAGCACCCAGCAGGCAGCACCCAGCAGGCAGCACCCAGCAGGCAGCACCCAGCAGGCAGCACCCAGCAGGCAGCACCCAGCAGGCAGCACCCAGCAGGCAGCACCCAGCAGGCAGCACCCAGCAGGCAGCACCCAGCAGGCAGCACCCAGCAGGCAGCACCCAGCAGGCAGCACCCAGCAGGCAGCACCCAGCAGGCAGCACCCAGCAGGCAGCACCCAGCAGGCAGCACCCAGCAGGCAGCACCCAGCAGGCAGCACCCAGCAGGCAGCACCCAGCAGGCAGCACCCAGCAGGCAGCACCCAGCAGACAGCACCCAGCAGGCAGCACCCAGCAGGCAGCACCCAGCAGGCAGCACCCAGCAGGCAGCACCCAGCAGGCAGCACCCAGCAGGCAGCACCCAGCAGGCAGCACCCAGCAGGCAGCACCCAGCAGGCAGCACCCAGCAGGCAGCACCCAGCAGGCAGCACCCAGCAGGCAGCACCCAGCAGGCAGCACCCAGCAGGCAGCACCCAGCAGGCAGCACCCAGCAGGCAGCACCCAGCAGGCAGCACCCAGCAGGCAGCACCCAGCAGGCAGCACCCAGCAGGCAGCAGGCAGCACCCAGCAGGCAGCACCCAGCAGGCAGCACCCAGCAGGCAGCACCCAGCAGGCAGCACCCAGCAGGCAGCACACCAGCAGGCAGCACCCAGCAGGCAGCACCCAGGCCAGGCAGCACCCAGCAGGCAGCACCCAGCAGGCAGCACCCAGCAGGCAGCACCCGCAGGCAGCACCAGCAGGCAGCACCCAGCAGGCAGCACCCGCAGCCAGCACCCAGCAGGCAGCACCCAGCAGGCAGCACCCAGCAGGCAGCACCCAGCAGGCAGGCACCCAGCAGGCAGCACCCAGCAGGCAGCACCCAGCAGGCAGCACCCAGCAGGCAGCACTGCCAAGCAGGCAGCACCCAGCAGGCAGCACCCAGCAGGCAGCACCCAGCAGGCAGCACCCAGCAGGCAGCACCCAGCAGGCAGCACCCAGCAGGCAGCACCCAGCAGGCAGCACCCAGCAGGCAGCACCCAGCAGGCAGCACCCAGCAGGCAGCACCCAGCAGGCAGCACCCAGCAGCAGCACCCAGCAGGCAGCACCCAGCAGGCAGCACCCAGCAGGCAGCACACCCAGCAGGCAGCACCCAGCAGGCAGCACCAGCAGGCAGCACCCAGCAGGCAGCACCCAGCAGGCAGCACCCAGCAGGCAGCACCCAGCAGGCAGCACCCAGCAGGCAGCACCCAGCAGGCAGCACCCAGCAGGCAGCACCCAGCAGGCCAGCACCAGCAGGCAGCACCCAGCAGGCCAGCACCCAGCAGGCAGCACCCAGCAGGCAGCCCCAGCAGGCAGCACCCAGCAGGCAGCACCCAGCAGGCAGCACCCAGCAGGCAGCACCCAGCAGGCAGCACCCAGCAGGCAGCACCCAGCAGCAGCACCCAGCAGGCAGCACCCAGCAGGCAGCACCGCAGGCAGCACCCAGCAGGCAGCACCCAGCAGGCAGCACCCAGCAGGCCAGCACCCAGCAGGCAGCAACCCAGCAGGCAGCACCCAGCAGGCAGCACCCAGCAGGCAGCACCCAGCAGGCAGCACCCAGCAGGCAGCACCAGCAGGCAGCACCCAGCAGGCGAGCACCCAGCAGGCAGCACCCAGCAGGCAGCACCAGCAGGCAGCACCCAGCAGGCAGCACCCAGCAGGCAGCACCCAGCAGGCAGCACCCAGCAGGCAGCACCCAGCAGGCAGCACCCAGCAGGCAGCACCCAGCAGGCAGCACCCAGCAGGCAGCACCCAGCAGGCAGCACCCAGCAGGCAGCACCCAGCAGGCAGCACCCAGCAGGCAGCACCCAGCAGGCAGCACCCAGCAGGCAGCACCCAGCAGGCAGCACCCAGCAGGCAGCACCCAGCAGGCAGCACCCAGCAGGCAGCACCCAGCAGGCAGCACCCAGCAGGCAGCACCCAGCAGGCAGCACCCAGCAGGCAGCACCCAGCAGGCAGCACCCAGCAGGCAGCACCCAGCAGGCAGCACCCAGCAGGCAGCACCCAGCAGGCAGCACCCAGCAGACAGCACCCAGCAGACAGCACCCAGCAGGCAGCACCCAGCAGGCAGCACCCAGCAGGCAGCACCCAGCAGACAGCACCCAGCAGGCAGCAGGCAGCACCCAGCAGGCAGCACCCAGCAGACAGCACCCAGCAGGCAGCACCCAGCAGGCAGCACCCAGCAGGCAGCACCCAGCAGGCAGCACCCAGCAGGCAGCACCCAGCAGGCAGCACCCAGCAGGCAGCACCCAGCAGGCAGCACCCAGCAGGCAGCACCCAGCAGGCAGCACCCAGCAGGCAGCACCCAGCAGGCAGCACCCAGCAGGCAGCACCCAGCAGGCAGCACCCAGCAGGCAGCACCCAGCAGGCAGCACCCAGCAGGCAGCACCCAGCAGGCAGCACCCAGCAGGCAGCACGCCAGCAGGCAGCACCCAGCAGGCAGCACCCAGCAGGCAGCACCCAGCAGGCAGCACCCAGCAGGCAGCACCCAGCAGGCAGCACCCAGCAGGCAGCACCCAGCAGGCAGCACCCAGCAGGCAGCACCCAGCAGGCAGCACCCAGCAGGCAGCACCCAGCAGGCAGCACCCAGCAGGCAGCACCCAGCAGACAGCACCCAGCAGGCAGCACCCAGCAGAACAGCACCCAGCAGGCAGCACCCAGCAGGCAGCACCCAGCAGACAGCACCCAGCAGACAGCACCCAGCAGGCAGCACCCAGCAGGCAGCACCCAGCAGGCAGCACCCAGCAGGCAGCACCCAGCAGGCAGCACCCAGCAGGCAGCACCCAGCAGGCAGCACCCAGCAGACAGCACCCAGCAGGCAGCACCCAGCAGGCAGCACCCAGCAGGCAGCACCCAGCAGGCAGCACCCAGCAGGCAGCACCCAGCAGGCAGCACCCAGCAGGCAGCACCCAGCAGGCAGCACCCAGCAG